AGAAAAATCTAATAAGTTCAGACCCTATTTTTTGTGTAAAAACGTTGACAGGCTTAGAAATCTAGACAACTGCTAAACAGGTTTGCTTTTATATATCACATGTTGGCCTCTAGGTAAAAGCTGAAAATTAACGAAAAACTTCGAAAATTAAGAAATGTTTGAGATAAAAGTTACGCTTTTTATCTTAAGTATTATTACGTAAACTCGCAATTTTTATCTTTCTCTCTGGTGGACTGAACATTCTGATAGACTTGTGATGTCATAAATGAAGTAGTAACCTAACTGACTGCGCAGCAGTAGGCATCCTTGGAACATGGTGCTTCTGCCACGAGAAGGTCTCAGCTTACACAGGAATCAACAAAGATCACCCCACTTTTCTTAAGACAAACGAAAACAAAATTTGCTTGACACATTTTTTTTTTTCACCTGCTTTTCCTTTTGTAATCTTGTAACCGATTAATAATCGAAGATCACAAGAGGGTACGGTCTTTAGCGTGCGTGTTTTCCTGTACGTGGACGCTCGGGTTTGCCTATATTGTTTTCATTTTAGCATTTTGAAAGGAAAAATAACTTTTTTCTAGGGGTAAGAACAGCCATTGTGAACACTTGCGATCTACAGTCTTGTTGTTTGTGTCAAATCACGAACAATTATCTCTTGTTGTGATACCAAACGTGTTTTAAAGCAGCAACAAATCGACAAACGCTATTACAGAGTGTTTTCCAAAGCAACGAGATGAATAATTAAACTTGAACAAAACTTTAAGTTTAAGGGTTCGAAAATTATTCAAAAGGCTTTGTCGTTGCGACCTAGCCTCGAAGAGCTGAGACAAGAGACGGTTTTTACCGTCCTCTGTTGAGAATGCTTCTACGAGGACCACTTCCCGGCTTATTGCTGTTTATATTGTAAGTACTTAATCCAACTTTAAATAGTATATAAGCCTTTATTAGTTGAATCGTCTATTTAAAACGATATTTAACAGACCTAACTCTTTACTGGCGCCATATTGAGTTATCTAAGTAGTCCATCAAATTTTAAAAGCAAAATTGAACAATTGTGGTAGTGAAAAATGTCTCTAAACACCAAGTCAAATATGTGGAAATTGAGGGAATTGTACGAAACGCGCCCAAATTTTTGTGTTCCTAGTTATATTCTAAGTTTACATTTGTTCCCTGTGATCAAAAGTAAAACACTCTTAGCTTTAAAAAGTAACACTCTTGGACCAGCTTTTAAATTGAAACAGTCTTTATTTCTTTCAAGCGCCAGTCACTTTGTGAATCTTGAGCACCATAGTAGTCCTCGGGTTTTACCGAAAACGTCATTATTTTAATGGTATTCAATTTGTTCCATGTTTAATAAAACGGATCACCTAGTTTTGGTTAAAGAAATACTTAAATTACTGATTCATTGATTAAACATGGCTAGTGAGGGGAATTCACAAAAATTAACCTTGGAAATAGCAGAGTTTAACCTGATTTATTACGCGAGAAAATTGTCACCATTGTAACATCGTGATTTTTATAACATAATAACACTCCATGGCAATGGTAGGAAAATTATGGAACACCCCTTAATTACATTTTTTCTTTAAATTCTTTAAAGAAAGACATCTTTTCTTCTCTCATCCGACGGTATAGCTCCCTCACGGGGCACCAAAATGATATCCAAGTATAGAAACGCCTCTTTAACACGTTCCCCTGTAAAAATTTGAAATTGATCATCTTGAATTTTTGCTCACTAAAAGTTTTGTTATCTTGAATCTGAAGTTTTTGTTACAAGAGAGGTAATAACTTTTAAATCAAGATTCTGAACTAATAGTTCCGAAGGATTACATTTTAAAAAAAGGAGTTATCTTGAAATCTTGACTTAGCTTTTATTGATTTGTTTATTGATTTGAGTACCCATAAAATGGTTCATTTTCTTCCCCTAAAACTTCTTTCAAGATGTTTTTCTTGTACCTTTAGTTTCTTTCGAAATCATTGGATAAGTAGAACGAGTATTTATGTTACTGAGGAATGAAAGGCTCAATAGTTTTTAAAAACAGCGATAGCACCAGTCAACTTTATGAAAATAAAAATTAAAGTGCATCTTCATTGCACGAAATCTTCCCATTTTGGTGCCTTATGTTTATGATACTGCTTGGAGTGAATTATGTTTCGTTAAATAGTTGGCTAAGTTGGAATGATCTTACAAAATACTGTATTGACGTCTTTAAAGGGTTAATTTGCCAGCGCGTGTCCCGAAATACCTGTTGCTCATATGGTTCTTGGTGTCCCGTCGTGTCTTTATTAGTTATTTATATCAACGGTATTTCCTTTTTGAGTTCGACAATTACGCTCATCGTAAAATTATCTTTTCTTATCCTGACCAAATCTTTGTATAGTACATAAAATCATATTGTTGTTCATACTTGTAACGGGTCAGAATCATTACATAACTCCACAACGTTGCAACGTTTACCAAGTTATTGCGACCATATTTTCGTGGCTCAGCGGTACTTGGTCTTACTGTCGGGGCTCTGTCATGGTCCATAACCGGGTTCCATATTCTTACCTAATTAGGTCCCTTTTGTTGCGTAATCAGGTTCCATTCTGTTATATAACTCGGTTCCATTTTGTAACGCATCTGAGTTCCTTTGTATGATCACTTGACATGTACAGTACTGTAGTTGTGAAACAGAGAGATTCGTCTATCGTTTTGCAATTTTTTTCCTTACAGAAACTAAACTTGGAGATCTTTTAAGTTGGTTAAGAAGTATCTTGTTAATGTGACATTTCTTTTCTTTTTTCATTTTAGGTACTGGAATGCTGCAGAAAGTATGTATTATTGACATCACTTCTTGGAGTTTCTATCTTTTGTGTCACACAAAGCATATCACCGACCAATCACATTTGATCTCAACACTGAGCATTGACGGGGCCATAGTTGTGTTCGTTAGTGTTCACACCAGAAACTCTTTGACTGTCACCCAACCCCCCCTCCCTCCCTCCCTTCACATACTTCAACTCCTTTCTTGGGTATCTCAGGCCGCGGTATGAAGTATTTTGGGGGGTATGTGATGTACCCCTTGTCACATCGACATCTGTTTGTTGTAACACCATCAGATCGTTATTTCTCTGATATACCTGAATTGTATTGACTTAAAATTTTTAACCGATCTTTCTGCACCATAATGTTTATTTCTGATAAATTGTTAAATTCTAAGGGTTGGTGTCCATTTGAGAGACTAGCTGATTTTGTTTTCTAATGCAATATTTGGTGATTTCTAGCCAGCCCACCCGGATGTGTAAACTTCAATTTCGAAAGGGGAAATCTTTACGGATGGACAAAGTCAGGTACTGCGTTTAATTACCAGCCAACATACGGTGACAACCCCACGGCTCGTCGCAGAGGACAGCCCTCAAAGCATCAGGGGAATTATTGGATTGGCACATATGAGAAGCGCCCCAATTCTCGGAGCCGAGCGGGTGCTATACAAGGGGACCGCCCCACCGGAACTTTGAGCTCCACCCGGTTCCGTATTATAGGGAATTACATTGATTTCCTGATCGGCGGAGGTTGCAATATTAATTATGCCAGGGCAGAGCTTGTCATTGATGGGCGAGGAGTTGTGCTTCGTACCACAGGTCAGTATACGCGCGTGGTTTTCGTCTACAGTCACAAATACACGATTTTCATTGTCACCAGAGAGTTGTACATGGTTGTCACCAAGTTACTCCTAGTCTGTACTCGAGTTGAGTAGCCCACCCGGCCAGAGCTTATCCCGGTTTCTTTAGCTAATACGAGTATCACTACACCCCTTTTGATAGGATGGCAGTCCATCGTAAGGTTACACCCTCTTTTTTTTTTCATTACGCTTCCCTTGGTGCCTATTTTTACGCCTTGGCGGAGAGATGCACCGAGAGAGTTGACTGTTTTTCCCAAAAATACTTTATTTATAAAAACGCATAAATACGACGGATTGTAGAAGGTACGAAAGATCTCGCGGCTTTTTAGCGAAAAATAAATAACAAAATCATCTTCTCTACTAGTCATTAAATCATTCATACGGAAATGTAATATTCCGATTCGCCCCTTAACATTCCCAGTGTATCTCAAGCAATTTTATTCCTCTTCACTAACTAGTCGTAGGTTTTACAGACAGCTAATCATATTGATGATTATTATCATTATTGTCCTTTATTACACCATTTTGAAATCACTGGTGGTCCCTGTAATCTGATTGGCTCGAATTGGTGCGATTTATTGACGAATCGCACCATTTTTTGCTTTAAATCACATCTTTTTCCCAGCCAATGAGAAGGCTACACTAAAAACAAAAAAACCAAGCAGATTTCAAGGCTTGTTTAAAGTAACCAATCAAATCGCAGGAAAATGTAAGACAAAGAGTTTCATGTGGCAAATTTGGCAACTATTGTTTCCAAAACTCTTATCC